ACTGTCACAGTCCTATTGTTATACAGAAAGTTGATTCCTCTGCGGTGTCTCCCTTGGTGTGATAATCTCACAACGCTTGGATGCCGCCGAATTTTATTTTTTCTCTGTTTCTCGAAAGTAAAAAATAGGCGAGCTGTATGTGTATTTTGAGTTCCAGGTCGCAGCCCCTGGACCAAATTGGCTGAAATTCGGAGAGAATGTTGTCAGAACGTTGGCCGACGAAACCGTCTGCGAATTCTGATTATTCTTTTCATTAAAAAGTTATGCCTTTTTTTCGCGGGCAGTCCTATTTTTTTCCCTTTTCTAACTTTATCCTCTTGTAAAATAATAATAAACGCATGTGCCAAAAATTCGAGACACGGTTTTTGAGGTCAATGTGTGAAGAAACGGATGCCATGTTAATCGTTTTCTCCGACCTAAATTTAGCGGGCGTATACCTTGATTTATGGGTTCGTGTAGCTTTGTAAACATATTCACGTTTTCGAAACACGGTAAATTTTTAACGTTTTAAACAGGTCGGGTTATGATCTGTAGTAATTAAGCTTGCAATAAATATACGGTTTATATGGGTTTTTGTTAAAACCACGAACGCTAGAGCAGACCGCGCGCGGATGGTCAAATGGCTTATACTGATACCTTAATACGAAAAGTTTCGGAGATCAGTGGACTTATCTAGATGATTACATGGACGTACTAATGTACTGCTGGAGTGAAAACTTTGAAAGGACTTTAAGGCGGGGGTACACATGAATTTAAGTGAAATTTTAGGAAGTTTAAAGAGGGATTAAAAGAATAAAAAGGGGTTTGGAACACCACCATACAGTTGATTGCCCCCAAAAGGGCACCCCGGGTTGGTGGGCAACTGTTTGGTGTACGTCTACCAATTTCTAACTTCAAATTCTAATTTTAAAACATCAAATCTTCAAAATTTCCTATTTCCATAAATTTTACTAATCCTTTGAGAAAAACTATTTGTCCCCAAATATACCCAAAAATCACCAAAAAATTTACAAACAGCCCAAAACGTAGCTATGTGAAATAAGCAGAGAGATTTTTCACTGCTTGAAACGTGAACGAGATATTTGCATTCAAACCATAATAC